CCCCCAGATTCAACTCCCCCCTGCAAGTACACCTCAGTCCAGGGCATTGTCCTTGCTCCCATCTCTTCCTTTCCTCTTTCGATTTCCTCCGTGTCCAAATAGAGGCTGATCTGACTTTGGTGGTGGTGGTGGTGGTTACTCTGCCAGGGGCTTCTGTCGTGCCAAATTGCCATTATTCATATTTTGAAAAATGTGCATGTGTGCTGTCAGGTTGCTTCTGACCTATGGCAACTCTACGCATTTATGACCTCCAGAACATTCTGTCGTTGACAGCCTTGTTCAGGTCTTGCAGACTGAAATGTGTAATGCTAACTATCAGGGTTCCCTCTAAGCTGAGTTAGTGTGAGCTAGCTCACAGTTTTTTAGCCTCCAGCTCACACATTTTTGTCTTCGCTCAGGAAGGAGGGCTCCAGAGCAAACTAATTTATGCAGCAGCCAAATCGCTCACTCACAACTTTAATGCCAGTAGCTCACAAAGTAGAATTTTTGCTCACAAGACTCCACAGCTTAGAGGGAGCATTGCTGACTATATGCACGTGTCCTATTTTCGCATGTTTGGAGTCAAATACACGGGAAAGGAAGCATCCCCCAATTTCCCTGAGCACCAACTGATTTGATAGCTGGTCTTGGAATTTTCTTAGGGTTCAGTGATGTTCCTCTGTCCCCTTCCAATTTCCTCTGGCATTGTCGGGACACAGAATTCTGCAGGGTATTCAATGTCTAAGCCTGTAGTTGAGCCTCCCCCCCCCCCCAAGAGAGGGCTGGTAAATGGGCAGAGAAGTCTGGTGTCAAAACCTATCTCTTGGGCAAAGAAGTGTTGAGGGGGGGGAAACTAAAATCAGCATGAGTTTGAGTAGAAGTTGCCAGGCTTTGTGTCTGTGTGTGTTTTAATTGTCAACACTCAGAACGAGAGTCTTGTTTGGCTAGATTTGGTTTAAGCTCCATGGGCCAAATGAGAAGACTAACGTAAGGGGCCCTACATACACTCTGCAGGACAGTAACAGCGATCACTATGGGCAAAAGTGGTGCTCTGCTCCCCTGCCCAGCAGGGGGAGCCCCTTGGCCAAGGGTATTTGGGTTAGCCATGCTGGGGTGCAGGTTCTCAAGTTCCCTCTCCTTCCCCCCCCCCCAGAGTCACAGTGGACGTGTGGGCAACACTGGCCAACTTCTGCAACATCCTGACAGCCGTAAACCAGTCGGAAGTCCCCCTCTACAAGGACCCGGACGAGGACCTGGCCCTGCTCAGCCTGGAGGAGGATCGGCTGCTCTCGGGTTTCGTCCCGCTGCTGGTCGCCCCTCAAGAGCCCTGCTACGTGGAGAAATCCTCGGACAAGGTTAAGGCCGGGGCAGAGTGCTCCTCCTCCTCCTCCTCCCTGTGGTGTCTCTCTCCCTCCCCCCCTCTCCCCCCACTTTTCTTCTTGGGAAGCATTTTTTTTGCAAACGGAACACGATTAAGTCATTGAGAAAGGGTGTTAAGGGAAAATATCGACCTTTTAGCCGCTGACATCCAGCTCTGTCATGAAAACCCCTCTTGACTTCCTTTGCTGTGTGTGTGTGTGAGAGAGAGAGAGAGAGAGAGAGAGTGTGTGTGCGCGCAAATGTGTGTGTGTGTGTTTGCCTGCTGGCATGCTGTATATACGATCATTTCCTCCCTTGTTTAAAGAGTGCAGCTTGCCTTGGCAGCGCTCCCCCTCTGCTCCAAATGGCTTGCATCACGCTCCGAACGGCCTCCTTCGCTCTCCCCACCCCTCCCCACCCCGGCTGGCCGCAGGACCCTGCTTGAGGAGGAAGCAAGGAGGACTGTCTGTCTTCCTCTAAAGAGGCTGACAGGGAAGCAGCAGGCACTGGGACGTGGAGCACAAGAGGATGTCCGGCCAGTGCCCTTGCCACCCACCAGGTCCCACAGATCCCCCCCCCCGCAGTCTTGGAGTTTTCCTCACCCCTTCCCCGATGTCCTTGGGAGCTGCCAGGACTATGGGGAAATATTGGGCGGCCACCTTGGTGGTTGCCCAGGCGTCTGCTGGCTAAGGAGGAGTGCCTGTTTTGCAGACAGAAGGTCCCAGGCTCGACTCCCCCCTTATAAGAACATAAGAGAAGCCAATGTTGGATCAGGCCAATGGGCCCATCTAGTCCAACACTCTGTGTCACACAGTGGCCAAAAATACCAAGTGCCATCAGGAGGTCCAGCAGTGGGGCCAGGAAACTAGGAGCCCTCCCACTGTTGCCCCCCCCAGCACCAAGAATACAGAGCATAACCTGCCCCAGTCTGTGAGTTCCTATCTGTACCTTGTGGCTAATAGCCACTGATGGACCTCTGCTCCATATGCTTATCCAGTTCCCTCTTGAAGCCATCCATGCTTGTAGCCGCCGCCACCACCTCCTGTGGCAGTGAATTCCATGTGTGAATCACTCTTTGGGTGAAGAAGTGCTTCCTTTTATCTGTTCTAACCCTAATCTTAAAAACCTTGATCATGTCACCCCTCAGCCGTCGTTTCTCCAAGCTAAAGAGCCCCAAGCGCTTTAACCTTTCTTCATAGGTTGGATTTGGTTCTCACCAGCATCTCCAGAAATAAAGCCCGTCAGGCAACAAGAAGCTCTTTCTCCGCTGGGGTGCCAGTGGCAGGCTAACTCAGCTGCCTCCGGGTTTGCCCGTGTCTCAGATCTGACCGATCGGCAGCACATTTTGTTTCAGGGAGAACTTTCTGTCAGGAGCAAGAAGGCTTTGTTTGGTTCACCTCCATCCCGCACGTATGGCTTGGCTCACTGGCACAGATCGTCAGCGCTGTTAGGTCTCACTGCTCTGCATCGGCTGCCCCTCTGTTTATTTCATAAGCCGATCTGTGTCCACCTGGCAAAGGGAGGGTTCTGGGTGCCTGCTACCAGTTCTGGGACACCAGCGCTTTCCCTTGGTTGCTGAGAGTCAGGGTGTGTCCGGGGTCGACGCTGTTGCCAGACTGCCGCAGCGACCCAGAGGGGAGATGGCCTCTCAAAGCGACTCCAACTGCTGGCCACTCCACCTTGTCTGGGCAGACCTGAGTCTGGGGAGACTCAGATGGTCATTGGAGGCCGCCAGCGGGCCAGCACGTTGGCAGGAGGTGGAGAGAGGGGGGTGGAAGAGGTCAGACCGGATGCCGGCTTCCCTGGGAGCTCCAATGCAGGCATTGGGAGAACCCTGTGATATCTTACAGCCAGGGCCCTGCTGGTCCTTGCCAGGGCAGAAACCTTACCACCCCACTCAAACCAGGGAGTAACCCAGGCTCGCTACAGGCAAGGTGGGCCTGGCAAACACCAGGGGGTGGGGTGGGGGGCTAGGAAGAAAATTGTCAGGAAGAGTAGCCAATGGTGGTGGGCTCCACCTGAAGGGCAGGCCTCCGGGCCAGTGGGAGGAAGGGACAATGGAATCAGGAGGGTGGCAGGAGGTTCAAAAGGGGTCTCCAAACAACAAGCTGGGGAAAACGAGCGAGCTGGAGATACCTGGCTTCCGGGGGGGAGCAGGGTGAGACTAACCCCCTCCCCTCTGCCTGAGGTGTGTGGAGCATCCCCCTTCACACCCCAACACCCTGGCTGAAAGTGGCGCGGCACTTGGGGTGCAGTCAGGGCGTGACAAAGTGGTGGGGGATGCAGGCCCTGGCCCTGCCCGAGGATGGCCCCTTCCCTACCTAACGATGCGAAGGGTTGGAAGAGCAGTCATCCGCTGTTGCCCACCCACCTTGATTACTCCACCCTCCCGGGAGGAGCTAAAGGGAAGTGCCAGGGTCAAGACAACCACGGAGGAAGAAAAGCCCAATCCTGTAGCTATGGATTTCACTCAGTTTGGCCAATGGCTGGCTGAACGTCAGACGCAGTTGCTGCGAGAGGTAATGCAGAGGCAGCTGGACTCTCAAGCCACACTGGTACAGGACTTCTGCCAGGCCCTCGAGGTGGCCCAGACAGTTCAGAACCTGGCATAGGGACTGTGGGCGGGACTGGGCCCCTCGTGGGACCCAGACGGGATACCTGGCTTCCATTGACGAAACTAGGGCTGGAAGATGAAATGGAGGCCTTCCTAGAAATGTTTGAATGCACGGCCCAAGGAGCAGTGGTCTTTCATCCTGGGTTCCTTACCTCTCAGGTGAAGCCCAAGCCGCGCTGCGGGCCCTGGAAAAGGGAGATGCCGCAGGTTATGAGAAGATGAAGGCCACCACCCTTGATTGCTATGAAGTCACCTCAGAGATTTATCGACAAAAATTTCAAACCATGTCATACCAGCTGTCAGGTTGGCCTCAGGTCCTGGTTGCTGTGATCAAAGACACTGCGATCCAGTGTCTCCAACACCAGGTGGAGGATGGGATGCGCATAGTAGGCCAAGTTGTCCTAGAACAGTTGTTGCAGATCTTACCCCCCGTCCTGGGCTTGACACTGGATTCCATGCTGGAAGCCCACAGGGTTGAAGGAAGCGATTGACCTATTTGAGAACTTTCTGGCAGCTGAGACGTGAGAGCACAATAGGGAGCACCAAAGCAGGCAGGCGGATGTGCCCAGGTTCCGCCTCCTCAATCGGGGACGGTAGGCCCAATGCCTTGCTGGAAGGTGCTGGAACCCATGCCCGTGGCCCTGCCTGAAAACAAGGGTTTGATAACTCCTGGAAGTTCAGTAGATGGGGCCCTTGTTTCATATATGGACAGTGGGGACATTTCAAGAAGGAATGCCCCCTAATAGAGCTGGGACACGACAATGCAGGTATCATCCCAGAATCTGCAAAAAAAAAAAAAAGCCCTGCTAATAAAGTTTCAGGTGGCCGGACAAGCCTTGGAGGTGTTGTTAGACGGGAGTTCCAACTCAATGATATGCTGCAGCCTGTTCCCTGTGGATTTGCCCGTGGTCTGCGTGGCCTCTATAGCTTGCTTCCTCAGGCATGTGGAAAGGTGTCCCGTAGTCACAGTGCAAGTCAAGTATGGAGGGCTGTCTTGGGTGGTCCCCCTAGCTCCGGTGAAATCCCTCCACTACTCTGTGCTTTTCGGAAGAGATGTCCCAGACTGTCAGGACCCCCTGACCTGGTTCTTTTGGCCCTTGATCTCCAAAGGCATGAAGAAATTCTGCACGTCTTGTGCTGCCTGCCAAAAAACCTTAGGGAGGCGAACTCCTCATGCCCCCTTATCGCCCCTACCCATCCTCCAAGTCCCCTTTGACCATATAGCCATGGACTTCATGGGGCCGCTACCCCGCAAGGAGCCCTGTCACCTCTTGGTCCTCATGAACTACACTATGCAGTACCCTGAGGCCATACCCCTGTGTAACATGAAGAGTGTGTGTGTCGCAAGAGCCTTCATGCATTACTCACCCATTCAGGCCTGCCCCGGGAGATCTTGATGGATCATGGGATCCCCTTTATGGCAGTTTTAATGCGACAGGTATGTCAGGCTGTACAGATATGACAGATCTGTTCTGTTGTCAGTTCACCACCCCCAAACAAATGGCCCGGTAGAAAGGTTCAATCAGACTGTGAAGGCCATGATCTTCTTCGTGGGAGTTGGTTTATGGGAGCATGCCCAGAGGGATCTTAAGGCTTGTGGAAGAACAATGAGTAGCCCGTTCCCTGACCCCTGGTAGCACCCCAAATGAGTGCATACAGTAATTGTGAGAGAAGATGGAGAAAGCCTGGGATGAAGCATGGCGAAATTTAGATAGGGCACAGCGAATGCAGAAGTGACACTATGATCGAGGTACACAGTAGAGGGTGTTCAGCCCGGGGAATCAAGTCTTGGTACATCAGGAGGCCCTGGCACTGACTCAGGGTGACCCTCGGCAGGGCTCTTACCCACTCGCAGGAAGCACTGATGGCTGCCGATTAACCATTTGAAAAAAGGGCAGCAGTGGGACACTCCCACCTGCCCCCTCGCAGAAGATCCAGGGGATCTGTCAGCCGGAGATCTCCCATGGAAGCATGACGCCCCGTGTATGGAAGAGCCCCACGCTCACCCCAGAGCAGCAGAATGAAGCGAGAGCTTTATTGCACAACGGACCTGAAGTCTTTTCCCTCTGACTGGGGTGCACTACACTGGCCAGTCGTCACCTCTGGACACCCCCAGGAAAGTGATCTGGGCTCCTTGGCGGCCCATCGCATGGGAGCAGTGGGAAGCCTTGGATCAGGAGATACTGGACATACTGCGGCTAGAGGCGATGGAGCCCTCCCAGAGTGCCCGGTGCAATCCCATAGTGCTCGTCCCAAAATATGATGGAACTGTGAGGTCCTGTGTGAACTTCCACGAGGGAAACAAAGTCGCAGAGTCCAGCGCATGCCCTATGCCGAGGGCAGACCTGCGGATAGACCAGTTGGGGACGGGCCAGTACCTAA